CCTCCTTTACCTTTGCCAAACTTTATATCCTTTAGAATTGCTGACTGCTCCAGAGATATACTATGTAGGTGATTAATAATATATATATTTACATCGGTTTTAAATTTTATCCACTTTTTGGAAGAGGAATAAAACTGAAATTTTTTTTTCTATTTCTTATTTTTCTCTACATTATTTTAGTTCGCTAAATATTACAAAAAAAAATAGCTTTGTTTTTTATATCGCATACTGTAATGCTATTATACAAATCACGCTTTTACTAATTCTACGTTAAGGTTATGATACATCTTTGTGTTTCATTTAAATGTACGGAGAAGTAAATAAAAGCAGATGGATTTTTTTAATAGAATTTTTAGGAAAGTTTCAATTATTCAATCGATTAAACAACTCAAAACTTCGCAGATTTATTGATTTCAATGCATTGTTAATTCCTGCTATTTGATATTTTAGAATTGATTTGTAACAAATGAAGCTTAAAGTATTTGATACCCTTTATAAATCCACGAATTTAAAATTTGTTAGTGTATATTCGGTAATTTTCTAGATTAGCCTGGACCTAGATGTTTCAATTTTACCTATGCATGCACATATTTATGGCTGTTTATATTACTTTATTTGATAACTCACTCTCTATACCTTACATAGTGAAGTATAACAAATGTGGATGAAGGCAATTAGGCTGTGTTATTATTATTATTTAGAATTTATTTTATGATTTACGCATTTTTTTCAGGCAATTCCAAGGAGCAATCCCGAGAAGATGATCCGTAAGTATGAATAAGTCTTCTTCTTCTTCGCCTATCCCCAAAGTCCAGCGGGACTAGACTAGGTCCATGAATACAAATACCCGAAGAAAGTCCGAGACCATCGACGGACTGTCAAGGAGATCCTGACATCTGAGCCCCAGGCACGCCAAGATGTGAGATAGTAAAGCCTGCTCAGAGGAGCACTTGGTGCAAGTGTCGAAAGCTTTCAAACCATCTGAGAAAGTCATAGTTCTGAGGTGTCCACTGAGCAAACGGGTGACTGCAGTTTGTCCCTGCCTGTCACAATTAAGTGCCAAAGTACAGCCAAATCGATGGCCCTGATATCACTGGTGCACTGGGGGAGTAGACGACATTGTTTTTCCATTTAACATAGCTTGGGAGTGGATCTCTGTATAGGTAAGGGGCTCAAGTGGAACCAATACCTCACTAGCACCCGCTTTGGCCAATGCATCTGCCATTTCATTCCCCTCAAGGTTGACATGGGAGGGGATCCACTGTATGTGGATCTGTTGATCCACTGAAAGATATTTTAGCTTTTTGAGAATAGATACACCTACCCTGTCTCTAACACTGCACCAATTAGCCAAGTGCTGAATAGAACTCCTGCTGTCAGTTAGAATCCAGATTTCATTTGCTGTAGTAACAGTCGCAATGTAGTCAAGGTTTTGTTTTGTGTGAAGAAGTAAGTCATGTAAAACAAAATTATGAATTATAAATCACGTTAAAAAATTTAATTACATACTCGCAGTTGTGTTCAAAATTCCGTTATAAACATACCCACACACGCACGCAAGAATATTATTCAATACACAAAAGTCCTTCCATTCATTTTTAAAAAAATTTTTTTTAAAGAAAATTTCCCGAAAAGGCTAAAATAAATTATATTAAATTTTTTTAAACATTTTTTCTATAAATATTATTATATGAATTATCGTATATTTCCCTGTATAAGTTGAGAATTTTTAGAATTTTTTTTTTTTAAAAAGCTAAAGTACAGAGGAAGTCTTATAAATGAATTAGCAAATTGAATTAGAAATGAATTAGCTGATCTCGCAAATAATGCAAGTAAATTTCTGCTATATGGGCGCAAGTAACAATTCGCCAAATATCAGGAGATTCTTGGCGAGATTCTACGACAATTTCGCTAAGTTTCTTTTCCTTGTCAAATGGAATTTCCAAAGAACAGGGGAAAAAATACAACCACGGCCATTTTGTTTGCTTAGAACAGGGGTGGCCAACCCGCGGTCCGCGTTGAACATTTTTGTGGCCAGTGATATTTATCACACTTTTACAAAATATATTTATTTTATAATGGCCAAAGTAGCGAAAACCAATGTATTAAAAAAATGCATTATGTGTGCATCCATGTATTTAAAATAAACTACCGAAATTATGAGAAAAAATGAATTTTGAATTTAAAATAATATTCTTGCGAATTATTACAGATACTGCCTGTTTTATTTATGAGTCTGCAGTTATGAGTTCTCAGAATAATTAAATTATTTTATGCGCGCATCGATTTGCAAAAGCTAAGTGAAAGAGTCGAAAAATAAATATCGCACAATTAAAATAAATATTTTTTAATGATTTAATTTTTATTAATTTCGTTTATATTTATATATTTTTTCTATTTAAATTTTAGTGTTATATACTTCTTTACAATGTGTATTTAGTATCATTATTATTATATTATCTATGTTTTCATTAAGAATAATAGTAAACACAAAAATAATAACTCATTCTGTTTCAATTTTTCACTCCAAAAAAATGTCTATAATGGGCCTAAATCTAATAAGGGGATATATAATTTTATATGCGGTTCGCGGAATTAAGATTAATTTCCAAAGTGGCCAACAAGATTATTTGTTTGTACCCCCTCCCCCCCCCCCTCCTGGTTTAATAGGGGACTTGGCGAAAATCGCAAGGGTAAAAAATCGCCAAATAAATAAGCGGAGCCCTGACGTGCAAACTCCCAAAAGATCGCTAAATAAAACATTTTTTATTCTTTCAGTTTATGCAAAAACCAATTTTTTAATGAAATGAGTTATTTATTTTTATACAGATGAGTTATAATATTTTCCAAATTGTTCATATCGCTAGTTTATTGTATTGTTGCGAAAACAAAAAAAAAGGATGTTGGTGTAATTTTGGCCTGGTTAACCGAAAAGTATCAAAACGAACATTAGAAATAATAATAAATAAATAATAAACATCACACGAATTTTTTTTACATTTTGGCTTAGATTTCGGCTTATATTCGGAAATATAAGCTAAACGGATGTTTATAGTGTTTCGGAATTCACTTTAAACAGTACGTCCCAATCTAATATGGTTGTAGAGTAGGGATGGGCAAACTTTTTCGGTCGCGGGAAAATATCGAAAAAAAAAAGTTTGGCGGGGTAAGATAAATTTTTCTAAAATATTAAAAACAATATACAAGTATCACAATTTAAATATGATAATGAGATGAATGAATTTGCGATTTCATTTTTAAAAGTTCCTTATATTGTGGTTCGAAGTGAGATGTACTGATTCTAAGGAACGAGGCTAAATGCTCATCTGTCAGTCTATTTCTAAAATAATTGTTTCTAAGGTTCACATATATAAGATGAAGCAAACGTAGCACTGATTTTCTGGGCGTGAAGTATTAAATTTGGGAAACTTATTTTCGATAATGATTTGTAAAACTCTAACTTTGGCATATTTTGAAACAATGCTATATATTTCTTTTAATTTGCCTCAGACCGGCCGGATAGTACCTTAAGGTGGGCCGTGGTTTGCCCGTCTTGCTATAGAGCATTGGGCGTAGGGCTGATAACCCAACCCCGTGAAAATAAAACATCTCTCGTCTCGAAATCTGCCAGTAGGCAGACGGCCTTGGCCCACCACGGGGCTGCCAATGAGGATGATGTACAAAAAAATATTAAAATGATATTTAATTTTTATGTAATAGTTGAATTTTAAAGATTATAAGCTACCAGAATTTTTTTGGTACTCCAATAATAATTTTTTGTGGCATTGTACTAATAAATTTTCGCGCCAAGCATCCTTGGCACGCAAACCAAACGAGCCAAGGGTAAAATGCATAAATTGAAAAATTCAAATACGTGCAATTTATAACAAACTGTACGGCCTGAATGGCCGAGTGGCTAGCGCTCTGGCGCTCGGTACCACAGGTTTCGGGTTCGAGTCCCGGCGGTGCCATGGATGTTTGTAGTGGTTCGGAATCCACTTTAAACTGTAGGTCCCGGTCCTAATAGGATCGTAGAGCGTTGCGGGGGCATTGTTACACCGCGTCCGTGGCTTATCTTCAAGTTACACGCGCTCCATGGGTAATGCAAAGTGAGTAACGTCTATGCAGCGCTTGCCCTTAAGGCATCCAAGAATAAGCTGTCTAAGTGTTTGCCAGCTGCATTAGAAAGAAAAAAAAAATAGCAAACTGTATAATTTTTATCAAGTCAATAATCGAACAAGCAATAGAAGATCTATGGATTTTTTATTTTAAGGCCCGTATTTAAGTAGAACTTAAGCCGCTTCCAACAAAATTCATCCCGGTCGAGTCCACAGGTTTTGTAGACTTCTCTACCAGTCAACAATGGCTGGACTTTTGCAGTGGGTGTCTAGGGGATTTGTCAGACACAATAAAGTCCTGCGTTTCTTTAAATAAAGCCACTTAATTACATGCTATTTTATAATGATATTTACATTAGTTATTAATTAAGTGCTAAACATATTCTCTCGCTGCTTGACGCAGCCTTCCCTATCTCGCTCCTCTCTCGTTTGCGGCCAGCGTTCTTCTCCCCTTTCTTCATTCACGGGGACCTGTCCCCTCCTCCAGGGGTCAGAGTTCAAAGTTGAATACTCCCCCACTTTGTAAACAGGCTCTGCCAAAGACAAGCAACCGTGATGTGTCGCCGCCTGCAGATTACCACACAAACAAACCCTGTTGTTGTTTCTTATCCCACTTGGCTGGCCATGCCCACGAGCCCATACGTACTCATGATTGAAGGGGAAGGAAGCAGCTTCTGTTGTGATGGAGCACCCGTAGGTAGAAGTCTGACTTTGGCTCCGCGACATTCTTACAGTCATAGGAGATCGGGACCTACGGCTTAAAGTGGATCCCGAACCACTACAAACATCCATGGCACCGCCGGGATTCGAACCCGAAACCTGTGACACCGAGTGCCAGAGCGCTAGACACTCGGTCATTCAGGTCCCAAATTTGTGAATGCCAACGGCACGCGGCGTTTCCAGGTGGTCACCCACCCAAGTACTGACAGCGCCCAATGATGCTTGACTTCGGTGAAACGGTATATTCAGCATGGTATGGCTGTTGGCTTCAAACAAATCCTACATTTATTAAATGCTTATTAAAATCATTGACTTTCAATTGCAGGAACTGTCGAAAAATGGGTCAGAGCTGCCACAGTGGAATGAAATGCTGCACTGGCCTGGCCTGCAATCAGTTAGTGTTAGGCATGGGATACAGTAGCCTCAGATGCGGGAGGGCTTAACTCATCAATAGCCTATTTAGCGGTGTGTTATTTCCATTGAAAATTTTCTGCTGTTCAATATACATAAAGTTATCCATTGATAAAAATGTATCATGTTAAAAAAATTGTTTTTGAATGTATTAATTTTTTTAAGCAGATTTTAATAAATTGTCAATCAATGTATTAAAATTATAAATACCACTGTGATGTAATTTTTCGTTGCCTGTATTTTTGTAAGTAAAAATGTTTTTCAAGTATTTTTGTAATTTTATCATTACTTACATCTGTAAACAAAGAAAAAAAAAACTGGAAAAATAAATATTTTTAAAAATTTTATATGTTTTAATTGGATTTCTATGATAGTAAAATGCATTATCATTCAATATTGTATTTCATCAAAACATGCCGATTTTCTAAAAATTAAAAAGAATTCCTTAAAATGAATTATTATGAAATTCAAATTTTGGATTAACCCTCCAACAACGTTTTGTACAATATATACTAAATTTAAACACCATTAACGCTATGCTTCATAAACAATATATAAAAAAAAAAATTTAAATCAATTCCTACTTTTTTTTTCACTCTATTGCAGAAAATCCTTTATAAATAATTTTCATTAATTTTTTTAAGCTTATCTGGCGCCATCTATTGGTGGATAGATGCAACTTAAATCTAAAAAAAAACTAGGTACTTACGTATTAACGGTACCTTGGCGGCAGTTGCGCCAATAGAGAGCACACGCGCCAATTATACTACAGATTTGGCGCCAATCTACACTTAAAATTTTTGTTCCAAATAATAAAATATATATGAAACACTTCATTTAAAATCAAAACGCTTTCAAAATATTTATATTCCAAATAATAAAAATTGGCGACACTTAAAAACCGCCAAATATGTCGCCAAGGTACCGTTAATACGTAAGTACCAAAAGCTAAATTAAATTAATTAAATTTAAATACTGAATTAATATTTGAAAAAACTATTAACACCTAGTGTCATCCACTACAAGTTCAAAAAAATGTATTTGAGCTTGATTGGATGAATAAAAAGTATTTTAATAACGATTGAAAATTTAAACAAGATATATATATATAGGGGGAGTGTGAGCTAATAGAAGGAATTGAAACATACGTAACAACATAGTAAACGAAAGAATGAAATACTTAATTTCAATATTTGGATAGCCCCTTAATCCAAAGCATTCTATTTTAGTACGCTGCTGACAGGACGAAAACTGACCAATGAAATTAAATGATAAGAAGAGTTTCAGTTCGTATTTTAGTGATGATCTTTCGTCCTGCAAATTAAATTGTATCACATGCTAAGCGTCGACGATTTTGACGGTAAGTGCTTGTTTATTCTCGTATTTAATAAGTTTTTTATGCATAATTATAACAGCGTTTATATATTATATTTCAAATTGTAAACTTTTGGAACAGTATTATAACAGTGCGTTAAATAATATGAATTATTTTATTATTAATTTCTCACTGTTTTTAGTACATTTTAAAAGCTTAACATCGGATTTTTAATTAATTAACACAAGCGTAGAAACTTGTAATGGCTATTAAATAGTATTAATGATGAATGATTGAAATGTTTTTAGACAACACTATTAAATTTCATCATTTTTTTTTGTGGGGGTCTTAATTTTTTTTAATTAATGGCATCAAACAGCTAACATTGAAGATTGTTAATTATCTTTTTATTTCAAAAAATTAACTCATGAGCCTTAGTTCAGTTTAGTTGTTAAATATTAGTTATATAAATTTATGTATTCCGATCAATTTCCTAATTCATCATCAGCATCAGTGGCACAGCGTTATGGATCCTAAAGTACAGTTACTGCCTTAGTGATAGACGTTAAAGTAGCCAAATAAAACAAGTAATATAAAAAAAAAACTTTTTAAAGTCAATTCCTACTTTTTTTCCACTCTATTGCAGAAAGTCCTTTATAAATAATTTTCATTCATTTTTTTAAGTTCATCTGGAGCCATCTATTGCTAGATATATGCAACTTAAATCTAAAAAAAAAAAAAAAACTAAAATTAATTAATTAAATTTAATTACTGAATTAATATTTGAAAAAACTGTATTAACATCCAGTGTCATCCACTACAAGTTCAAAAAAAAAATGTATTTGAACTTCAGTGGATGAATAAAAAGTGTTTTATTAACGATTGAAAATTTGAACAAGATTTATATATAAGGAGAGTGTGAGCTAATAGAAGGAATTGAATAATAGAACTAAGGTTGAAAATGATGTCCAAATCTTGTTGAAATTTTTTTGTGTCTGTTACAATAGGTATACTAATAGAAATTACTAAGTAGGTTACGGAATGACATGCCAGCAGCATCGATAATTTGCAAGATATCGAAAAAGGTTTGATATTTTTATAAAAATTGCCTTCCTTCCAAACCAGTGGCCAAGTAGTAATGTGCGCTTTTAGCCTGAAAGGTAGATAAGGGACCATTGAAAGTATTTGGATGTCCACTTCTGTTGCAATTGGAATTGGTTAGGTAAACATTTTGATTATTCAATTCCTTCTATTAGCTCACACTCTCCCTATATATATCTTGTTCAAATTTTCAATCGTCCATAAAATGCTTTTTATTCATCCACTCACGTTCAAATACATTTTTTTTTGAACTTGTAGCGGATGACACTGGATGTTAATACAGTTTTTTCAAATATTAATTCAGTAATTAAATTTAATTAATTAATTTTAGTTTTTTTTAGATTTAAGTTGCATATATCTACCAATAGATAGCGCCAGATAAACTTAAAAAAATGAATGAAAATTATTTACAAAGGACTTTTCTTCAATATAGTGAAAAAAAAGTAGGAATTGACTTAAAAATTTTTTTTATATATATTACTTGTTTTTGCGATACGCTGCAGGGATGAGCAGATTCTCTCCTTTAAGTATTTCAAGGCTCCGCTTTATGTATGGAACGAACACTCAGTCGATGGGTTGAGGGGGAACACCTTCCCCTTATACCGGTGATAGGCAAACTTCTTCGGGCCAAAAATCGAAGAAAAAAAAAAACGTTTGGCGGGCCAAGATAAATTTTTCTAAAATTTTAAAAATAATATACAAGTATTACAACTTAAATATGTTAATGAGATGAATGAAATTGAGAGCTCATTTTTAAAAGTTCCGTATATTGTGGTTCGAAGTGAGATATACTGATTCTATGGAACGAGGCTAAATGCTCATCTGTCAGTCTATTTCTGAAATAACAACTGTAAAAAAATATTTCCAGGTCCATTCATCATTAAAAGCACGGCATTCTGAATCAACTTTATGTTTTTAGTAGCCATTTTGGGGTTGAAATATTTTACGAATAACCCAAACTAGCACTAGCTACTCTATACTTTTAATAATTTCCCCACTATTCACAATGATGCTATACATCCGCAAACTTTCCATACGCAATCAATAATATTAGTACTTGTGCCAAAAGAAAAAGCCGCTGTCTGGAGCTTAAAATGCGCAGTCTGCCACGCGTGAGGTCTACTTCAGCTATGTTGGATTCCCGTATGACTGCTCCCCGAGAAAGAGATAACGCTTGTTGGCTCCAATCTACAGCTAAAGATAACACAAAACTTCCGCTTTTAACACTTTGCATATTGAAAAGCTGTCTGTGCTTGCTATTTTCGTCAATTTATGTTTTGTAGAACAAAAATAGAGAAAGTAAAATGATCACCAGTCCTTTGAAAAAAAGGAAGAAAAAAATAATAATTAATCATAGTAGAAAAGGAGATGGATATATAATATATAAATATATATTTCTTTTAATTTACCTCGGGCCAGCAAATTAAAATTCTATCCGCGGGCCGGATAGAACCTTCCGGAGGGCCGGAGTTGGCCCATACCTGCCTTATACCTTCTCATAGCTGCTCATGTTAATCCCAGGCCACGAGTCTGGTTTAAAAGAATGTTCACGAGTAATATGTTGTAATTATTATAAACTTATACACCATTTCTGCCAGTATTCAGAGGGCCTCTGCCCATCATGGGTCTGTTGCCCAATTGCAAAAGAATACATATTCTTCATTGGCGCAACAGCCCCAGAGTGGGCCAAGGTCGTCTGTCTACTGGCAGATTTCGAGACAGAAAATGTTTTTCTTCTTACTAACGCACTACAATCATATTAAACCATGGGGCCTTATGGCAGAGTGTCTGACGCTCCGTGTCACAGGTTTCGGTTCGAGTCCCGACGGTGCCATGAATGTTTGTAGTGGTTAGGAAGCCCCTTTAAGCCGTATGGATTGGTCTCTAGATAACTATAGGGATTAACTAATTGTAGGGCTTTAACTAAGCATTAAGGATTGGGTTCGATCTCTTAAGCAGAAGTTTGATGGGCTCTGTGACATTACGGTCTCATATGACCGTAGAACGTCACAGAGCCCAATCAGATTTCTCACCCATATCATTCCCAAACTGTAAAGGGGCAACTCAGCTCTAGACACAATGAAGTGGTGTAGTAGTAGTAATCATATTAGACCGGGACTTACTGTTTAAAGTGGATTCCGAACCACTACAAACATCCATGACACCGCCGAGACTCGAGACCGAACCCTGTAGCACCAAGTGATGTCATTACAGTGATGCATACAAATGCTAAATTTATACCTTGTCCCTCAACTACAAGAACTCTTATCTAATAGAGCCCTCCGAATTAGTAACTTATTATTAGTATTCTTAATGTAGATTAATTAAATTCCTTCTATTAGCTCACACTCTCCCTATATATATCATGTTCAAATGTTCAATCGTTCATAAAATACTTCTTATTCATCCACTCAAATTCAAATACATTTTTTTCCA